CTCAGGTGGGGACAACCAATGTGTTTTAATACAAAATCACAGTGTCTTGATAAAATATAAGAACTATACACTGAATAATTCATTTGCAAACATCCATCATTTGTCATTCACATTCTGTCTGATTCTTCAACTTCAAAATTCCTTTCTATCTTCCCTTTTCTTCAACTCGATCCCCTTAGCCTTCTGCCTCCAGAATTTCCACTTCCGACTGGTGTTACCTACTACTTATGTTGATGGACTTAAATAGCATACACTACATACTGGCGAACCAACCAAATCAGGGTCGAGAAGTCTTTCTCCAGGCCCCCGAATGCCCTGGTATGGCCGAGAGCGGGGTGGGTTCGCCCTCCCTCTCGAGATACCCTCACATGGCCACGCGTATACAGCCCCTGCCAGGGAAGTCCTACTCACTGCCTTCTCGTGGCGGGGGTGTTGTTTACGAAATCGAGAGGACGAAAAGCGAATGTCCGGCGCTCTAACCGGATCCCAAACCAATGGTGCACATGGGCTCGAGTATCCTGAGGGAACAAATGGCGTATGAACCAATGGTTGTTCACCGGCTACTACGGGATGGCATCTCCTCACGATGCTCGATTGCCTTGCGGGTCAGACCTTTAGGTCAAAGGCTCTGGATGTGGCCCCCTAAGAAAACCACCTGCTTCGGTTTGGGCACCCGGGCAGTATCTCAGCCCGCACACAAAAACATGATAAACTATCTACTTATGAAGGGTTTTACATAATGTATATATTACTTTAACACTTAAAACTTTATATGGTTTATTTTTACAAGTTTCTACTACATTCCTAGATAATATTAAGTACAATTAATAGAAAGCTATTTACATCTTAACAATCAATATAACGTCGATTATATACGTATCATTACCAAGGTTTGACATGATAATTTCAAATAAATTGAGCATTGAGTAGGTTGTTATAAATAAAACGAATATATTTGTAACCAAATCAAAATATGATTTGGTTATATATTTTCTGAAGAAGTGGCTTACATCGAGTAACGAAACGTCAGAAAGTCTCATTTTTCTACTCAATGGGATATCACAAATACATTATTCTTATTTATAATGTCGATTACTTATGAGAATGAGAGTAAAGGTCATATCAAACTATATCCATTGATCAATGTCCAATGAAAATTATTAACTGTAATTATGATTTAATCAAGTTTCGACTAGAATTACCCATAAATTAGTTTTCTAAAGTAATCATAAATACAATTGTAGGAAGTAGCTTCCTGCAGATGAAATTTTAAACTGTTCCACAGACTGTCAAGTACAAAGTCTTAGCCCAAATCAGAACAAATAAACTATATGGCTTGATAAACCATATGTTTCTATTAACTAGTACAGTCTATTAAACAGGAGAAAAAGAATGACATGGATAACATTACTTACTTATTCCTGTTAACCCTCGTGGTGAAGCGTAGGCCACTCACCAGGATTCTCCATTTAACTCTGTCCTGGGCAATCGTGTCCAGTTGCTATTCACCCTTTTGATGCCTGATTCCAATTCTCGACGCAGTGTGTTCTTTGATCATTCTCTTTTTCGTTTCCCTTCAGGATTCCAGGTTACGGTTGATCTCGAGACTGAGCGTCTACTGAGTCTTTCATCCGGTTCAGCAACACTGTTGAAAACCTTTCCTTGTACTGACAGTAATGTGGTTCTTCCGAAGTTCTCACATTTACTCAGATCTTTGTTTGGTATCTCGATGAGGTATTCTTCTTTTTAACACATTGGCACTTGTTCCTCCTCTCAAATATTCCTGAACAGAGTGTGAGGCATATTAGCGGCTGCTTCTATATCTGAGTTCAGTCTTTCGGCTGGTATATTTTCAGATCCTACTGCTTTCCCACTCCTGATAGTTCCGATGGCTATCCTGATTTATTCGATCGTCGACGGTGTGACGTGTATAGGAATGTCTGTGTGTGCCGATTCGATGTCCGGTAGATTCAATGAAGCTGGTCTAGTGAAGAGATTTTCAATGTTCCACCCGTCTGCTCATTTGTTCTTGAATCTTGGTGATCGTCTTGCCTTCTTTGTCCTTGATCGGTCTCTGGTTTACAGTATTTTCCTGTCAGTTTCTTCATCGTATCATATAATGATTCGTTAGCTCCTCCACATATTTCTACTTGTTTGCTTCTGTGTAATCAGCATGTGCCTTGAATTCTCTGTTCTCGTTCGGCTGTTGTCCTCCTATCCATACTGTCAAACACCTCATAGTCAAGGAAGTTGATGTATAGTGACGAGTTCCATTCAATTGACTGCTCAACAGTGATCCATAGTGTCACGACTTGGTCTGGGCATGACCAATCTTTACGGAATCCTGTCTGTTGATTTCGAGACTGAGCGTCTACTGAATCTTTCATCCGGTTCAGTAACACTGTTGAAAACGTTTCCTGATACCGACAGTAGTGTGATATCTCTGTGGTTATCACACTTGCTCAGATCTCCTTTCTTTGGTATCTTGATGAGATACCCTTCTTTCCAGTTTGTCCGCACTTGTTCTTCCTTTTAAATCTCCCTGAATAGGATGTGGAGTATGTTTGCAGTTACTTCTATGTCTGAGTCCAGTGCTTCAACTGGTATATTGTCAGGTCCTGCTGCTTTACCATTCTTGATTTGTCTGGTGATCAGCCCGGTTTCGTCGATCGTCGGTGGTGTGACGTGTGTAGAGAAGCCTGTGTGTGCTGCCTTGATGTTCGGTGGATTCAATGGAGCTGGTCTATTGAAGGAATTTTCAGTGTTCTACCCATCTGTTCCTTTGTTCTTCAGTCTTAGTGATTGTTTCTCCGTCGTGTCATATCGTTGTTTCATATGTCCTTCCCTTGCAGCTTTCTCCTGTCATTGCTAGCTCTTGCACATGTTTCTGTTTGTCGGCTGTAGTGCTTCTCTTCACTTGCTTGTTTGCTTCTGTGTATTCACATCGCGATCAGCTACCGCTGGCGTGGTTGTGTAAAAGACTGCCGCTCCTTTTGGAGTACCTATCTGGACTCTGACCATGCCTTGGTCTGCGCCAATCTTGCCTTACTTTTCAGTGGCCAACGAAGTGACCACCACCAAAAGATTGATGTTAGCAAGCTGGTTGCAACTTCTGTTGCAAATAAGTATCGAACCGAGCTAGCCTCTAGGCTAGCTACCACTCCACCGAAAAGTATAGATGAGCATTGGTTGCAATTGCATGACGCCATGAAAATGGCGGGAACAGTCAGTTGTGGGTTTGCGAAACGTCCCGCTTTTAAGCACTGGGTTTCTTCTGGTTCCTTACAACTCATTGAAGCCCGTCGGTCTACTCCGGGTGACCGTGAGTTTGACCATAAACGAAGGATGTTACGTAAGGAAATTGGGCAAAGCTTGCGTAAGGACCGAGAAGCCTGGTGGTCGAAGCGTGCTAATGAGCTGGAAGCAGCAGCTGCATCTGGTAACTACCGGAAGCTCTTCCAGCTCATCCGAGCCACTGGCAGCAAGAAGTCTGGTGTGAGTGAAACAATCTGCGAGGATGATGGGATGCCAATCACTAACATCCATCGACGTCTTGGACGATGGGCAGAATTTTTCGAAGGGCAGTTCAACTGGCCTGCTGCTCCGGCAACATCAGTCAGACTGTCCTGCCCTCCATGGCCGGTGACGACTGATCCACCAAACGAGGAGGAAGTCCGCAAGGAACTCCAACTCTTGAAGCGTTACAAATCACCTGGCCCAGATGACTTACCTCCGGCTCTTTTTAAAGATGGTGGTGACTTTTTGACTAAGGAATTGACGACGTTGTTTACAAAGGTTTGGGAACTAGAGAGTGTGCCAACGTCATGGAATGAGTCGATAGTTGTCCCTATCTTTAAAAAGGGTTCACGTCGTTCCTGTAACAACTATCGGGGGATAAGTCTACTTCCGATTGCATCCAAGCTATTGGCTTCCGTCATTCTTCGTAGGTTGTTCAAAACCCGAGAAAGATTGACTCGCGAGGAGTAGGCTGGGTTTCGTTCTGGTCGAGGATGTATTGATCATATCTTCACCCTCCGCCAAATGTTAGAACACCGCCATACTTTTCAAAGGCCAACAATCGTAGTGTTTCTTGACATCAGGGCTGCCTTCGATTCGTTGGATAGGACTGTTCTCTGGGATTGTCTATTGAAGAAGGGTGTGCCTGAGAAGTTTATTAACATCCTAAAAGCCCTGTATAAAAACACCTCAGGCAGAGTGAGGGCATACAACCACCTCTCTCCATTGTTCCATTCGAGCAGTGGGGTTAGGCAGGGTTGCCCAATCTCACCATTCCTCTTCAACTTTGCCATCGATGACATTCTGGAAACAGCTCTGATGAATGTAAGTAATGGCGGTGTGGATCTGTTGCCTGGAGAAAGACTTATCCACCTTGAGTATGAGGACGATATTGTCTTACTGTGCGATAATGCCCAAGGCATGCAATGCGCACTTAATCAGTTGGCAATCAGTGTCCGTAGGTATGGTATGTGCTTTGCACCTTCGAAGTGCAAAGTACTTCTACAAGACTGGCAGGATTCTAATCCTGTACTCACCCTGGATGGTGAGCAGATAGACGTAGTTGAGAAGTTCGTATATCTGGGTAGCTGCATAAGTGCTGGTGGGGGTGTGAGTGATGAGATCAATGCACGAATAGTGAAAGCCAGAGCGGCTTATGCCAATCTGGGCCATCTTTGGCGCCTTCGTGATGTTAGTCTGGCTGTAAAAGGCCGGATCTACAACGCGTTGGTGAGAGCAGTTCTGCTCTATGCTTGTGAAATCTGGCCTCTCCGAGTTGAGGATGTTAGACGACTCTCTGTGTTCGATCATCGCTGTCTCCGAAGGATTGCTGACATTCAGTGGCAACACCATGTCAGTAATGCAGAGGTTCGGCATCGTGTGTTCGGGCACAGAGATGATAATTCAATTGGTGTCACCATCTTGAAACACCGACTTCGTTGGCTTGGACATGTTCTCCGAATGTCGTCCCAGAGAATTCCACGTCGTGCATTATTTGCCGACTCTGGGACTGGTTGGAAGAAGCGGAGAGGTGGTCAGTGCATGACATGGTGTCGTGGTATGAAAGAAAGCTGCAAAGGACTGGCTTGTGTTGGTCCTTCACGACCCCCTGGTTGGGGTCTGAGAGATGGTGCTACACAGTGGCTAGAGACGTTATCAGATATGCCTCAGAATAGAAGCCAGTGGCGATCCTGCTGTAACCTTCTTTTACTTTCTTCATAAAAAGTGGTTGTGTCTCCCTTACCTGAAAGATTTCTTCCGATTGTACCTTTGCGTTCCCTGATTACTAGCACATTACCTTACACGAATCTCTTCGTTATTGTTCTCTCTTTTTTTGTTGCGCTCCTTAGCTTTTTTTTCTTTCTTTGTATTCCTCTCGAATTTTCATTGTTTTGTGTGGCGCATTTATATTGGCGCTCTCTTGTACCAATATTCATGTGTCCAAATAAATAAATAAATAATACTTGATTGTCTCTGTTCTTATCCGGCTGTTGTTAATCGCTGTCTTCTTGTTCTTCCTTTCATAAATTTTGTGCAGGGTTTCAATAGAGATCCATTCCTTATGATGATGCTTCTTGCATCCCAGCTCCTCCTGACACGTTGAAGTTAGTGCTTCTTTGATCCCTTCCCGGTTGTCCCCCATAGGAGTTTCTTCTTCTTTCAGTAGATCTTGTAAGGCTTGGAACCAGTTGTTGAGAGCTATTTTGAATTCCTCGAAGGATGGCTGTATTGAATCTTTGTGATGCTGTCTGTCCGGTTGTCCAGTGCTTCCTTAGCCTCCGTTTCATCTTGGCAATCACCAGGTAGTGGTCCGAAGTTGTGTCAGCTTTTCTCCTGGTTCTCACGTCTTCCATTGTCCTCGTGAGTTTTTCACTGATGCAAATATGATCGATCTAATTCTGTGTAATGTGGTCCTGTGAGACCCATGTAGCTTTATTTATGAGTTTGTGGAAGAATATTATGCCGCTTATAACCAATTGGTTGAATGCACATAAGTTTGTGAATTCCTCCCCATTTTCGTTTCCTTCTCCCAGTCCATGTCGTCCCATGATGCCGTCATATCCGGTGTTGTCCATTCCGACTCTCGAGTTTACATCACCCATTAGGATTGTCATGTTTTTCCCTGAAAACTCAGCTATGATCGATTGCAACCTCTCGTAGAACTGATCTTTATCGTCGTCATTGATGTCATTGGTGGGTGCATAACATTGGATAATATTCATTGTGATTCTCTCCTTGTTTATTTTGAATGATGCTTTGATGATCCTGGGTCCATGAGATTCTCATCCTATAAGTGCATTTTGTGTTTCTTTGGACAGCATCAGAGCAACTCCCTGAATGTGCGAACAGTTTTCTTTCTTGTGACGAGAGTACAGAAACATCTCTCCTGAATATATCCTTTTCTGTCCAGCTTGGTTTCAATGGGTTCCAATGATTCCGAGCATCATCGAATTGTATCTCCTCATTTCCGCAGCTATTTAACTGGTCCTTCCGCTTTCCCACATTGTCTGAACATTCCATGTACCTATATTAATTGGTGCTTTAGTTGTTAGAAGGAGCACGTGGCATTCGGAGAATCTCGGCTTTCATCATTTGGGGTCATAATTCTTCCTTGAACTCGAAGAGCAGAGTTAAAATGGTTTAAATTGTTCAATCTGGTTAGGGTTTTTTAACAGTGTTGTTTTCTACGGGATGGGGTTGCTGACCCTTTGCCCAACCCTCCTCCTTTACCCTAGCTTGGGCCCAACAATAACCCTAGAAGAACCATAGGTTACAAGGTCAAAGAGAGCTAAGTGGTGTTGTGGTGTTTATTGTGACTGGTAGGTTCGTTTATCGATTACAATTTACAACTAAGCCTAGTATATATCTTGTAAAATATTTGAAACTAAAAAGAAGCAGAAAAAATGTTCAATAAATAAATTACTGATTAAATCAGTAATTCTCCTGAAATTGATGCACTTCATTGCTTGGATCATTTTTCTTTCTTTCTATGCGTTAATGAAAAATCTAATGAATCAAGTTGATTTTATAATTACTTCTTATTAATAAAAAGTAAATTACTTTTCATCTCTGGATTTTTCTATCCTGAAGTTAGCAAATGCTATACAAATCAATGTAACCATGTTCATTTGAATTATTCTTGATTTTGATCAGCAAAGTATGAAAATCCATATTTTTATTTACCTGACAATTGAAGTAGGTAATATTTACATGATGGAATCTTGACTATTGGACACTGAAAACAGAATGTACTGATCGGTCCACTTTCAACCAACCACGATCAACAGACAAATTTGTGTCAGAATATTCTAACATATATTCTGCACAAGATCTGATGTGTTTACTGCTACCTTTTTGTTGCTTGGATTTATTGAAATATATATTGTCCAGGTTTGGTAAGAGTTGAGTGAAGTATGATGTCCATGGAATACTGTACAGTAAAGGAACATAATAGAGGGCTACTTAGATATCTTTTTGATTACGAACTGGTAGTTGACGAACCAGAGAACACTAAACAGCTGTTTCAAGCTGGTGTAAAACCCTTTATCAGGACAGATTATTGACTCTAAGTGGTATAATCAGCTTGAAAGCTTTCAATAATTACGTATTCTCAGCTTGTATTAGTTAATTCTAAACCATATTTTTTCTGGTACTAGTAAGTAGTATAATTCTATTCACTGATTTTTGGAACGGGTAAAATATAGGTAAATGAATAATCAATAGTAATCTACAATTCCAATTAAACCAGAAGAGTAATTCATATTCCCTAAGGATCATCTTCCTTGAATTAATTAGCATAATGTGAAAGATGTAAAACAATCTACTAATTGCATAAAAAATCGTAACGTCGATATCAACAGCAATTTTCGAAACATTTAATGAACTGGTATCAACAAGTTTTCTGCTAGATTGAAACATTGTGATCAAGTTCATGAAACTATCGAGATTGAAGTGAATGTTGACGATATCGGTAAATCAGTTTGAGTGTGGTACTCAACCACTATTAATGGGAAATATATGGTACTTGATAAAATATGATTACTATCAAGTCTTATGTTGGATCTTGGAGGCAATTAATATAGGTACTGGTGAAAAATCTCAAACCAAACATAATGGTATGTTCTCTAAGTGTTCGAAGCTACTTATGGATGAATTTTTCTTATATTGGATTACGTTCAACCGAAAATTTAAAATAAAAATATCTTAGGTGAAGATAACTTCATCTAATTATAGTTTATACAACAGGACATTATAAAGGGTGTGGATGAGGGGAAGAGATTGTTATAACTGTTGGTTTTACACGTATGGGACGTAAATTTACCTTGAACGAATATCTACACTAGATTCCCTCCCAGTGTCTATTCTACAGGACTTCAACACAACTCAGATCAAGAACACGTATCTTTAAGAACAGTTTTCAAAAGATCACTTATAAACCTCGGTTCCCACTGTAGTCATTTAAATAAAGTAGACAGGCGAAACCAACGTTTATCATCTTGAGCTACCTATGCAGTGAAGCTACTGTCAGTCTTCAACGTCACGTCCAACCGAAACCTCAACATAATACTTGATTTGATGATCATTTCTCGCAGTTATAAAGTAAAATACAAAGCAGTGGTCCTTCTGGAGCACAACCGTTAAGAAACCTAAATAACTCACAGATAGAAGTACCAGTACAAACATACATATCTAAACCTAACCTATCAGTTATTACGTAATACAACAAATTACAGAAAGTAGTAACTCATACCTTGGAACCACAATGAAAACCTATAAGCCATGTGTAATAGTCTGATTTGGAAAGTTACAAATATATCTACATGGATTTTTCCTCCCAAAGATTTTGTCAACACAATGGAACGATATTTAAGAAGTGTATATTCATAATTGAATAATTTTTTTTGGTAAGCGTTTTTTAGCGAGTTAGTTTTCTACGGGATGGGGACGCTAACCCCATGCCCAACCCTCCTCCTTTACCCGGGCTTGGGATCGGCAGTAACTCTGGAAGAGCTACAGGCGGAGTACCAGGATAATATTGACAATCTTCTCAGGAACTCCATAGTGTCGAAGAAGATTCCATGATGTCCTCCTATCTACACTGTAAATGCCTTTTCATAATCAATGAAGTTGATGTACAGTGACGAGTTCCACTCAACTGATTGTTCGACGATGATCCGTAGTGTCGCAATTTGGTCTGTGAACGACCGATCCTTACGGAATCCAGCTTGTTGATCTCGAAGTTGGGCGTCTACTGCATCTTTCATCCCGTTCAGCAAAACTTTGTGCAAAGTAGTGCACAGAGGACAGCTGACAGATACATTCCAAGTAAGGACTGGAGTCAGACAAGGCTGTCTACTCTCTCCCTTCCTCTTTCTTCTGGTGGTCGACTGGATTATGAAGACCTCGACGTCTGAGGGAAAACAGGGAATACAATGGACAATACAATGTGGACTTTGCAGATGACCTAGCCCTCCTATCACATACACACGAACAAATGCAGATAAGGACAGCCAGTGTAGCAGCAGTCTCTGCATCAGTAGGCCTCAACATACACAAGGGGAAAACCAAGGTCCTCAAATACAACACGGAGAACAGCAATCCAATCACACTTGATGGCGAAACTCTGGGAGATGTAGAATCCTTCACATACCTGGGAAGCATCATCGATGAACAAGGAGGATCAGATGCAGAAGTAAAGGCGAGGATCGGCAAAGCAAGGGCCGCATTCCTACAATTGAAGAACATATGGAACTCAAAACAACTTTCAACCAATATCAAAGTCACAATTTTCAATACGAACGTCAAGGCAGTTCTACTGTACGGAGACGAAACTTGGAGAACTACAACAACCATCATCAAGAAGGTACAAGTATTTATAAATAGCTGTCTACGCAAGATACTCAACATCCCCTGGCCGGATACCATCAGCAATAGCCTTCTGTGGGAGAGAACAAACAAGCTTCCAGCTGAAGAGGAAATTAGGAAAAGACGATGGAAATGGATAGGACATACATTACGCAAATCATCAAACTGCATCACGAGACAAGCCCTAACTTGGGATCTCGAAGGGAAGCGGAAAAGTGGAACGCCAAAGAACACATTACGTCCGGAAATAAAAGCAGATATGGAAAGGATGAATGACAACTGGAAGGAGCTGGAAAGGATTGCTCAGGACAGGGTTGGATGGCGAATGCTGGCGAGCGGCCTATGTTCCTTCACGAGGAGTAACAGGCGTAAGTAAGTAAGTAATATTCATAATTAATATTTTATTTTTTAACTGTAAAAGCAATAAGAAGTCATCACAGAACACACAAACCCCCTAAAAATTTACAGTTAATACGTTTAGGGTTTTTTTAAATTACCACTTAGAAAGGAAAAGAACATGATCGAAATTATTTTAGATGTAAATGCCAACACACAAAACAGACAAAGTGTCTGAATGTAATGTGAAAAAAGAAATTCAAATATATGAGAACAGTTCTACTCCAAGCTCTCTTCTCCCCACGACGATGAAAACATAAATATGCATATACGAAGTCTTTCAAGAAACGTTTACTTAGTAGATAGAATCTACTACTGAAAAGCATATCTAAAGTAGTAGTAGTAGTACATGTAGAAGAAAAATACAATGACATAACCCAATCAATATCCATCGTTTGTTAGCGTTGTTATTCCAGACGGAATGAAAGAAAATTACTTTTGTTTTCTATATAATGATGTTGCTGATATATATAAAAAAAATTCCATGACCATTTTTATTTATCATAATTGATAGATATAAATAAATCAATAAATATTTCTTGCAAAATAAGAAAAGAAAAATTGATTAGTTTGTTTATTGATTTAAATTTCCCAAATATAATTGATTGTTATATCACCACCACCACCACTTGGTATATCTAATTTTACATCACCTTTAACTTCAGATTTGACTAAAGAAATTGAATTACCACGTTGACTATTCAATGATTGAATAAGCACTCGACTATGACCAAGGAAATGAAGTTGAAATTCATATTTCAAATCATTATTAATAGTGTTTTCAGTGTCTTTACTGTTTTCATCATCAGTAGGAGTTTGATGTGTAGGTTCAAGTTGTAATGTACCATCTAAACTAGCTGCCCATATGGAATATGTTGAATTTGGATTACCTTAAAAGAAAAAAAATTATTAAAAAAAAACAATATAGAAATTCTCCCTATGATACTATATGATGTGTTACATATATTGTATGAAACATGATGTGAAAAGAGAAACAAAGAAGCTAAGGCAAACAACGGAAGCTATTGTTTGGGACGTTATTTCACTTGATTCTCTCTCGTGCGCTTGTCAACCAAGCAGGTGATAGGATAATTTTCTCCTCTTTACCCAGGACAGTTAGTCAAGTTTGAACTCACACGTTTCTAGCCTCAACGTTAAGGCAGCTAACCTATCATGTCAAGGTCTTAATCTACATTGAGACAAGTTATCTTCTGTATATTGGTGGGTAGACAGATCAAGGACGTAACAAAGCGCTATTGTTCAGTGAGACGAGGATGGTATGGAACCTGACAGTAAAATAATACATATTATCCAAACAAATAAGGGAATGGGAATTGTGTGCAAATTAATTATAAAGTGAAGGCAGTTAAAACCAATCAGTAGTTGGATATTAATTAGTAGCAGAATCCAGGACGCATGTTTCGTCCCACTTAAGAGTTGTTAGTTGGATCTACCTTCTTCATTTGTGTTAATGTTCACAATGAGACTAGAACTCAATATATTTCTCCTTAAACTTCAAAGAGGTATCCATTGAGCTGCTAAGTCCAAACGTCACCAACATGTGGAACGGGTATGAATTTTATCTATATGGATTTATATTTTCCCTGACAAGTCCCAAATAAGATGAAATACGTGCATGAGGTAGTGAGAATCTACTTGACTTAAGTTTAGTGGTATTTGGTATACCTGTAATTCTCCCCGTGAGATCTGAACACACACTATCCAGTCCTACAGTTTGTGATGTTACCACTGGGTTAGTCGGGATGTGAATAGGCTCACGAAGAACTGAAGCGTATTTACAATTGACTGATCACTAAGCAGTGACCGATGTTATGTTTGTCAAGTATTTTAATAATAATTGAATTCTATCAGATAAGTCACAATAAATGCATTAGTCTAAATGACTCAGCATTGCATGCACGATGCTGAGATGTGTTATATGATATTTTTACATCTAAGTTATATCTTTCTTCCCTAACCTACTCACTCTTATTCAAAATAACATTGTATTTCAGAGGTTATCTAGTTACTCCGTGTATGTAGAATGAATGACTCATTTATTTTAGTTAGTCTAGGTAAACAATTTGATATAAGTTCTAGTTCTCAAATCCCTACATCTAACAATAATTTTACTCTCACGTAGTGACTATTCATCTTATTGGATTTACAAACGAAGAAAACTTATTCAGCGCCATATGTACTTATTAAATTCGTTACTTTTCGTCGAACTTATGAACCGATTTAAATTAGACTACGATCGGAAACCTGAAAGCACTGTCCTAGAATGAGACTTTTCAGAGTAGTGAGGATCGATGATCCTGTCACCGGGATTCGAACCTAAGACCTTCGGTCCCGCATGAAAACGCTTAACTCCTAGATCGCTGAGCTGACAGTCAATGGTGTTTTAATTTCACTATCCACATAGATAAAAATTTTAAAACAAGTAATAAGATCTAATGTATAGAAGGAAATATAACTGTTTGGTGAAAACCTTTGAATATCATTTTAAATACTGATTTGTTGAAGAACTACTATCAATATGCTTGTTTATCCTGATACTAATATGTTACTAGTAAACTTAGTCGTTCATATGCTTACCTGGAATGTGATAGTTTCTTTAAAAAGAACTATCTCAAATAATATTGGTTTCATAATATTGTCATTATGATTATTAAATTTCGAATCGATACGTAAAAAGGAATAGGAAGATATGAATTATCAGACAGAGAGGCAGGGAGATATACTGACTGATCAATTTACAATAATACAAGAAGATTGGACTTTAAAAATCAAGTCACTCAATAGTTACAAATAAATGTCAGACAAAATATTTCTAACACAATGTAAACAGTCGCAAAGTATACTAGTCCAGAAGTTTATTGATAAAATAGTGAAACTGCCCACTATTCTAACTGGGATGATAACTAGGACGTCAAATTTTCATAGGTAATCTACAACATTAATTGTTGAATCTAGGAATTTTTTTCAAGATTTACCTCCAACCTTAAGATATACAATTAATAGATCTGAGGTGTGATTGATTCAACATTGTATTTGGGAATGTTGTCGCTGTGTTGTACAGATTCTGACAAACAGATCCATTAATTGACATGTACAGAAACTACCAAATATTGATTTTTTTTAAAAAAAAACTTGAATTCTGTCTAGATTTAATCTAGGAAAGTTCAGATAAATGATTAGCAATAGTTAAGGGACAATCAAATAATAAGACAAATTAGAAGGAAACAGTTGTTCAATATGTTTAACACTCTGTTAAACATCCACAGTACTTCTCAAAATCTATGTATATGGATACAAGAATATATATTTAGTGGGCGATAACATATTTCAAACATGGAACCTAACTAAAAACAGTTTTATATCATGTGATTTGATCAGGTTTTTTATCAAAAAATTGAAGAGGGGCATAGTCTAGTAATTACAATCAAAATTTAGTAGTTATATGGAATTACATCCAACTCCCGTTACTTCAACATAATATTTACTTGATCAAATTATTAAAAAGATGAAAGACGACTAATCATTGAAGATATCTGATCCAGCGTTATAACATCAATTTCAGAACAGAATAGAAAAAGTCGACAAAAACATTTGGAAAACTTTATTTGTTAAAGAAAAATTGATGAAGTATTGTTATCAACTAGAAAATTGACCATGAACAGACAAACATAATTTAAATATTATCAAAATGGGTTTTGTGGAGATTTTTAGAAATTTCACTGGTTGAAATCATGAGTCAATTGAAGCTAGACCAGTGAAATTTCTAAAAATCTCCACAAAACCTATTCTGATAATAATAATCACCTGCTCACTAGTGACTGACTTCAGGAGACACTCCTGGAGTTCTAGTGAGAAGTCTTTACCAGTGGAGTTCAACCAGGTCTATTGTGAGATAAGAACTTACTGAAGACAATGGTGTACGGTGGCTCAACTTCGTGGATTGGTTGAAGTTAGACATTAACACCCTTGGATGCCGGCTCAGTGGTCCAATGGTCAAGTGCACGCGCGCGAAACCAGTAGGTCCTGGGCTCGAATCCCGCGGGGTGCGGGATCGCGGACGCGCACTGCTGAGGAGTCCCATACTAGGACGAAACGGCCGTCCAGTGCTTCCAGGTTTTCCATGATGGTCTAGCTTCAATGGACTAATGATTTCAACCAGTATAATTTAAATAGCTGATTTTCCTTCAATAAGATTAATGATAACAGAGTAGAAGTTTACTGTTCAATATAAATATCACATGGAAACACAATTCTTATCCTTAATTCATTAAAAGTGACTTATTTATCCAAGGGTATAATTATCAATCTTAGAAAAAATGATGAATAAAACCAGCTTGAAAAAAAAAGAAAGAAAACCATAACTATACGCATAAAATGTTATTTGAACTATACGAGAGGTAGAGAGTATGGAAAAGCACATTCTAAATAAAAACAGCTAACCAACTGTATATCATATAACAATATAAATGTTGTATTCTAAGATGAAGTAAATTTATTTGACTATTTTAAAGGTATATTTTAAGTATTATTATTAGTAGTAGTGATAAATGATCGAAAATTTAGTTTTCAAGTTGCGTAAAAGATATTGTCATCTTGTTATGTTTAAAGATATTCATGATTAGTAAGTTATGGAAGTTCAGAAAACCGCGTTAACTAACAAGACTTCGACGGCTCATGTACATAATGCGGAAACTGAACAATTAGTTGTAAACATTAGACTTACATTGTACAAACAGGAAATTAAACTGTGTATGAATCAGAAAACAAGAAGCAGTTGTACTCAATACACATATTCACCTATTATTTAAGATTTAAAAGACACTATTTGTTCATGTAATTCACACAGTCATCTGAGGCATAGTTTAGATAAATTAATTTCGGAAAATATTAAAATCAATTTAGAGATAAGAAACTTTTATGTGTAACGCACTTCTTGTTAAAATAAATAAATATGACTGAGAATACTATTACATTAAACATATACACTTTTATGATAAATTTATCGATAGTTCAATGATCTAGACACTATCTGGAACGAAATCAATCATATTTGCATATGTTTCCTAATTGTTTATTTTTCATGAAAAATTATGAATATCTTATCGATTTTGGCATTATTTACTGACCTCAAACTCATTTTCTCAGTATCCATGTCAAAAATGTTCAATTCTTATGTAGCTTACACGATATATTACTCTGAACTGAAGTATTATATGTTAACCATTGAATATCGACTAAGTAGTCTTAAAGTTAACCGCTTGCTCTGATACTTAAACGTTCTGGTTCTAATCTTGTGTGAAGTGTTACATCCCCACTGCTGAGGGATCTCGTGCCAGTACGAAACAGTTGCCCAGTGTTGCTTAGTTCTTTTCATCGTTGTCTAATTAATAGTAATATTAACTACAAAATTTTTAAAATCTCTAGGAACCTCCTCTGTGCTTTCAATTGGAGTTGATTTTTTTCTTTTTGAATTATAGAGAAGTGTGATGACTTTAGAGGTACTTCTACATTATTGCTTACTGTCTATCTGCCAATCAATATAGAATAAATTTAATCAACGGATGCACCTATCACTGACGGTATAACGATTGAAAATTACATAAATGACTAAGAAGATGGTCATATTTAGATCTATATATTCGGACTATGCACATGTCTTATATTATTGTTATGAAAACTGAACCACCACTACCACAACAACAAGAAGCTGAATATTATTTAAATTTAAATAAAATTCGGGCTCGAGTCCCCCTTGCGGGATCGTGGATGCGTACCGCTGAGGAGTCCCATACTAGGACGAAACGGCTGTCCCGTGTTTCCAGGTTTTCAATTGTGGTCTAGCTTAGATCGACTCGTGGATCCAACTGTGAAAATATGGCAATCTCCACAAATCCTCATACTGATTATAAAAGTTTTATAGTTTTTTCAGAAAAAATGAATCGAAAACCGATTTGATGAACTTAAAATTCATAAACATACAATTATATTTGAAGTTACTTTTATTGCATACTAGTCTATAATAAAGTAGAAAGTTGTTGCGTCATTAGTAAGGTTACAAAAACAAAAAATCTAGTCGGAAAATATTTTCAATTATTGAATACAAGTTATATAATAATTAGAGTAATAAAAAGAGAAATAAAATAGGGACGATATATGGGGGAGAGAGATGTGGAAGATAATTGTTCACTTGACGAATATTAAGAATTCTAATAGATCAAATCACGAATTAATCTTAGTTAGACCAACATTGAAGACTTGGAAGCGCTGGATGACTATTTTTTCCTAGTATGGGACTCCTCCATATTACATACCTACGATTCAGCCATAGGGAATCGAACCCAGAACTTTCGGTCTGGAACACGAATGCTTAGTCTTTGGACAACTGAGCCCATATCCAGTGGATCATGTACTTACCAGTGACTATCTTCAAGATCTAACTACGGGAGTTCTAGTGAGAAGCCGTGACAAGTGGAGTTCGATTCGTGTCGGGTGTGAAACAGTTATTCATTGCAGGCAGGGTTGAGCGGTATCGTGAAATGTATGAAACCAAACATTAAAACCTTTGGATGCTTACTCAATGGATAAAAGAGTTTATTTCCCAAACTGAAGGTCTTGGGTTCGCTTCTCGTGTGCACGGTTGAGGATGAACACTACTGAGGAGTCCCATACTGGGAAAAAATATTCATCTAGTGCTTCCAGGTTTTCGATGGTGGTCTAGCCGAGATCAATTTGTAATTTAAAGTTATGAAAATTCTAAAATCTCCATAAATATCCCTCTGCGAATACATGAGAGAGATAAACGTACGTCAGAAAAACAGGAAAAGTAAGAAGGGGATTTAGAACTATGGTAAAATGGAAGACTGGACAAATTACATTTGAGCTTAGAGACTATAAGTGAATTTACGAATCACTAAAGCCTCAGAGATATGAATGAGTGAAACTTTGGCAATTCACTGGCTTCGGATCGGTCTCGTTGTTCCGAAACAATATATTCACTCCTTTTAAATTTTTTGGTCTTTTTTAATTGTCTCGATACAACTGTACAGGTTTCATGAATAACGCAATAAGTTTGTTATGTTGCATTCATTCTGCTTATGCGTAAACGCCTTAATGGATCGAGAGAACTAAAGTTGATGCTTGGTATGTGAATACCGTAAACATTCTTTAACATGATTAAGATGCTGTAAACCTGTGACAGTTATTTCGAATTACTTTTTAAAATACAATCATTATTATACTTCACTATTGCAGTTTAAAAAATGAATACAAATGTGTCACTATGGCCTAAAATCTCTTATCATACATGGACTACGATTATCTGACAAATTCCAACCAGTAAGCCTATACTAACCGACACAATTTGAACTAATGATGAAATTCTCTAGCTTGGTTACCATTCTAACCAGCATACCAGCATGACTAATAGTTGTTCGTATCGTGTGACCCGATGAACTTCTTAAAATGAGGCCATTTTATTTGTCCAGCAACCTTGTTAGTTAATACATCAACATAACTAACATCGTAAACTTATAGGTAACTTATATACGTGTTATGATTCCTCTTACTATGACCCAGCTACTCTCATTGGTTAGTATTGCTTGGACAGAGCTTCATTTGACAAGTTCCCAAACCAGAACACGGTTGAACGGGAACTTAATTATAACCGAAGTAACAAGGGTGGATGGGAGTTGGAATCACAATAAGAAAAACATTAGTTTATTTATAATCAATTCATAAGATTCTAGAGACTTCTCCAAGTCTCCGCTAGCGCTGATTGGTTAAGAAGTAGCCATTCAACGTGCCTCCAACACAATCCTGCACGGAACATGCTTTAATCTAATCTATATCTCGCTAACAATAAGTATATATATATATATATATATATATATATATATATATATATATATATATATCACAGATCATACAGTATTAAAAGTAGTTCGATTCGAAAAAAATCACACTTACGAGCAAAAAATTTATAAGTATGCCGTTTAGTTACTCGAATGTAAAATGGTTCATAAGCTACTCCATTTGAATCAAGAATATTTTGTTTACCACGTACTAAAAAACCACCAGTTAATGAAGATAAAAACACAATTGATGTTCTATTCGTTAAAATAATATTGAATAGTTCATCTGATGATGGTAGCTGAGTTTCATCAATTAAACGACCACTTGTAGATACAGCACCAAGTTTACGAGCTGTCAAAGACTGTTCACCATCATTTGATCGAAATACAATTTGACGAATTTGCTTATCATTGACTTTATTCACTGTTAACATTTCAAATAAACTTTCTTGATCTCTAATATTAATTTGGAATAAAAGGTAAGATAAAACAGAAGTAAAAAGAGAGGAGACAGAGAGTACAGACAAATCTAAATGTCAATAATTCACTTAAACAAATCAATTATACAGAATAACATTGAATTCGAATGCGTATCATCATAAAGGAAATATAATTTCCCTAAGTTGTCTTTGGTAAATAATAGCGCTTTTATATCTCTCTACATCATACATTAACAAAAGATAGACAAGAAAAATTTAAAAGTTTTTCCATACGCTATAAAACGATTCAAGTAGAAATATTTTAAAGTACTATAGATAAATCAACAACAGTTGGAAATACAAACAGAAGGACATGAAAGATAATTTAAAAACAATAATACAGAATTAAATACAATGCCGAACATAAATCGGAAGATTCAAACAACTAATATATAGGACCAGTATATGGTTGTGGAGATTGTTGAGTTTTAATTGAGATCATGAACCGATCAATGTTGGACCACTATCGAAAACCTGGAAGCACTGGACGGCCGGTTAGTCCTAGTATGGAGGATGTTTGCACAGTATCGTCGATTGGTTGAAGTTAGACATAAACATCGTTGGATGATGACCCTGTGGTTTAGAGGTTGGACGTCCGCGCGTAAGACCGAAGGTCCTGAGTTTGAATCCTGTGCGCGGGATCACGGATGTGCACTGCTGGAGAGTCTGATACTAAGAGAAAACAGTCGTCCAGTGTTCCAAGTTCTCAATGGTGGTTCAACATTGATCGGTTCATGATCTCAATTAATATATGGGAATTGAGATTCATCCTCTTCCAAAGACCAGTAGCTATTTCGACTCAATAGTTAAATGGATTATAATGTGATGGCATCTGAAGCGGGCGATACTGGTTTCTAGTCCTGGAGTGGACGTCAACTCTCGGATGTAGATACATCCGGTTGACGAGTCCCAAACAGGATGGAGAGCACGTCCTGGATTACATTGCCAGTCACCATACCTTCTGCTTATTCTAATGTAAGTAAAAAACTCCTTACGGGTGAACTAATATAGTGGTTGTTAGATTCTTTTCCTAACTATAATCCAAACTCCTAATCCTAACTTTAAACCATAACTCTAACTTAATTCTAGATTTTACCACATAGATCACCTGCATTCTGGTTGGCTAAAAATCGGTTTTAATTATTAATAGTGTGACTGTACGAAACTGACTGAAATGAGAAGTTTAAAAATAGAAATTATGAATTCACTATTAGTTAAAAGTAAGGACGACTAACTAAAATGACAATACGCCAGATATTTAAATAAAAGAGGAATCGACTAAGACCATATATATAAATAATAGTTGCTCCAGAAAAACTTACCCATCTGAAGAAGTATTCTTAACACCAGATGATGAAGCAAGTTTCCATAATTTTCCACTACGAGAACGTAGACGCCAAAATCCGGTTGTTAGAAAGTAAACATCTGAATGAACACCATTAGTAATGGAATGGTTATTATTGATTAAACTTGAATTAGAAGCAGAAGAGTCACTGACTCCACCATCTGAACCAGATAAAGTCGATGCTGGGCTAGATGCTATAGCCTCTAAAGCATTAAAACCCATCCCACCAATATATTCCAACTGAAAAATAGCTGTTTCGTCTAATTCATGCTGATTTGCAGAAATTTCAATACCTTGAAAAAAAGAAGAGGGAGAGAAAAACAATTACATTATATGATACACATTAAAACCCTATATCTCTCTATATGATATAGTCAGTTTTTTAATCCTAACGGATTATTTTGTTACTAGTAAGTATAGAAAATAAAGAGTAATAACAAATAATGATAATTTAGAAGTCATAAAATGTGAAATATTCGAAAGAAAAACATGGATAGACAAGGAAAGCTCTTTCAATTAACATCATGTAATGATCGAAAATAGCTAAGAGGAAACAGATTTTCACAGAAGAATCTGTACTGTATTAAGAAAGATGTTTTTATCAGATATTTGTTTTAATACATAACTAATGACTATTGAAAAAGAAAATATGTATCCAAAGTATGATTTGCTGATAAGACACAAAAATAAATGCACTAAAGATACAATAATTGTGAAGGATTCATAAACACATGATGCCCAAGGCAATAAGAATGTAAGAAATAAAATTTTATAATGAAACATATTTGTATTTTAGATGAAACGAGTACACAAATTCATAATACCAGAATATATTCAAGGTTACGTGGGATACGAGCGCGGTAAATTAATTGATGAAATTGGTCATCTAAAAAATATAATGCCATCACTGCAAAATGATGCAAGATTGCAGTATACTGTTACCTGCTTAGAAATTCATAGACAAAGAGTGGCTCACCAAAAAAACAAAACGAATTATTAGAGCAGCTACAAACTAAAAGAAACTTGTAGTTAGTCAGTGCTGAAAAAAAACATTATAAGATAAATAGTTATGAATAAATAATATATTTGTAATATCCCAATGAGTAGATAAAATTAGATTTTCTGACGTTTCGTGACTTCGTGTAAGCCACTTCTTCAGAGAATAAATAACTACATCAAAATTAATCCAAGTCTATATAATACAATGGAACAACGAGAATATTATGACACAAAGTCACGAAACGTCAGAAAATCTAATTAGGTCCAATTCCCCGTAATGGGGCCGTGAATTCCTATTTCTGAGGAGTCCTATACTCGAATGAAGCGTCTGTCCGATGCTTCTAAGTTTTCAATGGTGGTTTAGATAATATCAGTTCGTGATTTCAACACAATATATATTTATTAAACTACTTGGTTATTATGAACTGCACATAACAGAAATTAACTTACCTTGTTTAACTGATGCGAATTTCCCATTATGTGCTACTATACCAACTTGTAAAGCAGCATGTTCAATTAGAAAGAGTTCTTCTTTACCAATATTTGTATTTGTTTTTACTTTAGTTGTTCCAGGTCCGATTGTGGTCAAATAATGACCTGTTTGATCACGAAAAGCAAATGTACCAGGATTACCTACATAAATAATGAAGTAAAGAAAATGAACAAGCTAGTGGTATATTAAGTTATCTATGGTACATTTAATTGAAACATTGGTACAATGCAAAAATCAAGATCCTTACAAGTAGGGTAGCGTGTAGGTCAACCTTATGAAATAAGTCAGTTATAAGCAGCATATAACTTGGCACAGATTTGCATCAGCTCGAACTGCCATACCCCAATATCAGTAAAATGAGATGAAATTCTCAAGACAAATGACATATTAGTACACGTAGCAACGATAACATTGATATTTGAAAACACTAGACAAAGACAATGCAATTCGAGAAGAATTCATGGGATAGAAAAAAAGAAATATTTTTAGAACTCGAGGTCTAAGAAAAGACAACAAGTGAATGTATCTGTGCTATTGTGACTAATTCTGATTCATGCCATCTAGCATTTCTAACCACTAGTTACGATAATTGCGTAAACTACAGCGCCCAAAAAACATGAGATAAACTTTACTAGGAAAGTTATTTTTCGTAATTGTGTGAGTTATTCATTAATTCTTGTATTACGGAATAAAGGAAGATAGTCAATGAATAATTAAACCTTGCAAGAATATTCCTCTTCAATTAGAGGACACTTATGTTAAAGAAACGCTACACTAATGTTTCCCATTAGCATAACTCCACTTTTTTCATGAGGTGAATCTTAGATTAACCTGTTTTAGCCACTTTTTCTAATACGTCTTAGTAGGATCTAAGAGTTGTATGAAACTGCTGGTGTGAGAAGTAAATATTGTTAGGTTAATGTATTTTATACCACATACTAAACAGTTATGCAACAAATTCTAGCTTCAGAAAATACGAATGATATAAGTTCTTCCAGACTAATTAGAAAGAAAAATTTAAGTTTCCTGAATCGCGTTTTAGTTACAATTAAATACGGTAGTCAGATATTTTAGATTATCTAAAGCACTCAGATCTTATCTTTCTGCAAGTAGCAGGCAACTGACATCCAATACTTGTTATGCCTGTCATGTAAATTTACCTTCCAGTTTTTTAATCTAATCCTTTATCAATACTACTATTATCAGGATTATAAAGAATTCTTTATTCCCCATAGAATTCATCATACAATGTTGTTTGTAAATTGTGGCAATATGTATTTATGGATGATTAAGCTAGGTTATATGTTGTAAATATGCATTTTAAAAGTGTTAACACGAAATGCCTTAGTACAGTCGTGTGAAAAGAGTCCTCTTTCTTTCTCCCTCTTTAAAAATGCTCTCATACGATCATGTACTTATGATATCCGCCATTGTTCCATCCATGAAGTGGAGTTAGGCAGGGTTGCCCAATCTTACCACTCTTCTCCAACTTTGCCATTGGTGACATTCTGGAAACAGCTCCGATGGATGTAGGTAGTGGCGGTGTGGATCTGTTACCTGCAGAAATAATTATCCACCTTGAGTATGAGGATGAAACTGTCTTAATGTGCGATAATGCCCAAGGCATGCAATCCTCACTTATTCAGTTGGCAATCAGTGTCCGTAGGTACGGTATGTGTTTTGCACCTTCGAAGTGCAAAGTACTTCTACAAAACTGGTAGGATTCTAATCCTGTACTCACACTGGATGGTGAGCAGATAGAAGTAGTCGAGAAGTTCGTGTATCTGGGTAGCTGCATAAGTGATGGTGGTGGCGTGAGTGATGAGATCGATTCACGTATAGTGAAAACTAGAGCGGCTTATGCCAATCTGGACCATCTTTGGCGACTTCGTGATGTCAGTCTGGCTGTAAAAGGTCGGATCTAAAACGCGTTGGTGAGAGCAGTTCTGCTCTATGCTTGTGAAACCTGGCCTCTTCGAGTTGAGAATGTTAGATGATTCTCTGTGTTTGACCATCGTTGTCTCCGAAGGATTGCTGACATCCAGTGGCAATACCATGTTAGTAATGCAGAGGTTCGGCATCGTGTGTTCGGTCACAGAGACGATAATGCAATTGGTGTCACCATCTTGAAACATCGACTTCGGTAGCTTGGACATGTTCTACGAATGTTGTCCCAGAGAATTCCACGTCGTGCATTATTTGCTGACTCTGGGACTGGTTGGAAAAAGCGGAGATGTGGTCAGTATATGACATGATGTCGTGGCATGAAAGAAGATTGCAAAGGACTGTCTTGTGTTGGTCCTTCTCGATTCCCTGGTTGGGGTCCGAGAGATGGTGCAACGCAGTGGCTAGAGACGTTATCAGATATGGCTGAGGATAGAAACCAGTGGCGATCCTGCTGTAACCTTCTTTTACTTTCTTCATAAAAAGTGGTTGTAACTTCCTTAACTGAAAGAATTCCTCTGCTTGTACCTTTCCGTTTCCCCCACTTTTATTACTATTGTTATTACACTGCCATACAGTAATCTGTGGTCGTTATCGTTCTTTTTTTCACTTTCTGCTCTCTTATACGCACCTTACATTCTTTTTCTCTTCCCATTCTCATTGTTTTGTGTGGGACATATACATCTGGTGCCCCCTTGTACCAGTATTTATGTGTTCAAATAAATGAATAATCTGCCAGGGAAGTTCAACACATTGCTTACTTATAGCGGGGGTGTTGCTTACGAAAGCAAGAGAACGACGACCGGACTCCTAGATTTTAGATAGGATTAAGTGATACAGAAGATACATACGGAGTCGGTAAATTATGACTTTAAGCTAATAGTGAGCATTAGCTGAAAAATCCCGAGGGAACAAATAGCATATGAACCTCTTTTGGCCATCCGCAACCATGAGATTCCATCTTCTGATGTTACTTTAGTACTTTAGAAAGTGACCTCTTAAAAAGGCCACCTGAATCAATTTGGGTCCCTTAGCAGTAATGCAGGTCATATACCTATTTTATTTCATACGGTGTATACTATTTTTGGTGTTTATTTGTGCCAAATTTTATATGAATTAAATAAATAAATAGATAATTAGTCGACTTTAAGCATTTAATTTACAACTATTGAACTGTAAAATGTAATAATTATAAATCACTTTCACCGTATGATTATCTTCAACATTTCATTATCAATTCAACACCTACATAAACAGCTTCTACAACTTCATATACACTACTTGTGTTTGAACGTGAACAGTTCACTCCTCAAATAGTACATGAAGTTAATAACAAACATCATTGAATCCCATAGTATCTATTCCAGAATCAAATGTTGAATAACTTTCCTTAGAATCATTGTTATGTAACTTGTTACTGATTCTATCAGTAACACCTAGATACTTATTTTAATAAAAAGTTAATAAGAGAACATGTCAGATGATTTTCGGGGAGATAAAATCAACAAATTACTCGTAAATTATAAAACTGACATAAGAAAGAAAAAAAACGCCTGAAACACGTGTACACTTTCATCATAATGCACTACTGCCATTAAATGTTGTAAAACTACAATATTTATGCTATAAATTAACTTTACAAGAAAAAATACCAACTGCCCAATAGAAAAAGCAATCTCTGAAGTAGAACATAAAATTTTCTTGTTGAAAATTAAACCACATTTAGCCAAAACATACGCACACATATATATATATATATACATAAACAATGAAGTGTAGTAATAAATGATGAATGAATGACCGAGTGGATATCTAATGAGAATCAGATGAATATTTATATTAAGGTTATGAATGATGATTCATTTTTATTAATGACAACAAAAATTGGCTGATATTAAAACAAATGTAGTTTTTATAAGCAAAAAAATGGATAGTAGCTAGCGGTGGAATTCAGGACGCGCGTTTCGTCCTATATGGGACTCGTCAGCTGGATGTACCTTCATCTCAGAGTTGATGTTCACTCCGGAACTCGAACTCAGGATCATTTGTTTCAAACACTATCGCGTTATCCATTTAGTTTATAAATTAAGGGCATGATCATGAGTATAAATCTTTAAAAAAAATGGAGTGTGATTACAGGGTTATTGAAATATCTGCTCAATATTTCTAAGTGTATACTTATTATTCACCCACATACAAATAAAGACATATTATAGCATACTGAAATGCAAATTATCTCCTCTAACTATAATCAGGTTCGAACTTGAATTTAAACTAGAGATTTATTATTAAAACGGTAATCACTGCATAAATTATTCACCTTTATATTTATTATAAAACAATTATAACCGTTTATACCAATTTTTACAATTATTAATATTATTGAGTGGGTGCTAAGTATGAAGAGTAAAGAAGGTTGGAAAATATGAAAAATTGTTTATTCATACATTGAGGGGGGATGCAAATAATAATTAATTTAGATTATAATTGTTGTTGTTGTTGTTGTTGTTATTTACAAAAATTGAATGTTAAATGAACCTACTAACACAAAACCTAGAATATGTTAGTCTATTTCAAATGGTATGCACTTTTAAATAAAGAATTTTTACACAATCGGTACATAAAGTACCTTAAACTAAATTATATTATTTATTCAGTTACATCCAGCTGACGAGTCCCGGGTAAGACGAAACACATATGACTACTGGCAGCAAGCATAAGACGAAACACATATTCGAGATTTTGTTGCTACCCACCATCCATCTCTGCTTATAATGTTATTGATTAAAACAGAACAATAAATTATTAACTGAATTTTAATCTTAATAAGCTAAATTTGCCTAGTTGAATTAAAATAAGAAGAAAAATAGTAGAAATGAAGAAATTTTTCTATTCGACAACTTCATTTTCATATTTACAAACTTGTTAACAAATAGGGAATAGTATGGAAACCTTCAGAATATGTTCGAGTCAAGGAGTAGCATTTATTTAAGAAACAGTAATAATTTCATTGTTTATGAAAAGATATTATGCAATATATAATAAGTGAGTAATGATTAAAAAATATATAGGTTGCAAATATATCTTTTGGATGTATAGTGTCAGTTCGAATTCCTGAATTGCTAGTGCTTCAGTAAAACACATTAATGTCCTATTGATTTGTTATTTGAATAGTTCAGTTTAATTTTAGGTAGTATTCAAAAAGAGTCAACTTATGTGGATTGACGAAGTGTTATGCATTCAAAATACAAAATGATTATAGAAAGTATTCATTTACTACTTTCAAATAAAATTCTACTGATGGATCTGTAATTTCAATGGGAAATTGATGTGAATATCCTCTCAAAAATGGTCATCAAAATCGTTAGGTAGAAAATCTTCTACCCCATTAATCTTTAAGCTTTGTTCTTTTCCATACAACTAATTTATTAACACGAAAATGATAATAAGCTAACACATTGGGCTACATCAATATGCATTTATAAGATCCATTGCTCAAAAGGTGCTGATAACTTCAGTTATACTATGCGCTCATTTGAGAAATATACTCTTAAGTAATATACAGTCTTACTAGTTAAAACGTGAACTCAAAACTATATGTAATTCTGTTGCTCCCAAATGACCTGGTACGGCTAAGGGTGGGGAGAGTACGCTCCCCCTCCAAATGCTCTCAAATGGCCACACCTATACAGTCACTTCCAGGGAAGTCCTACTCGCTGCGTTCTCGCGGCGGGGGTGTTGTTTAAGAAGTCGAGAGGGCGAAAAGCGAGTGTTCAACGCTTTAAGCAGGTTGGTGGATATGGAGGATCCACCTAGAGTTGAAAAATTCCGATTCTAAACCGATGGTGCACATAGGCTCCAGGATCCTGAAGGAACAAATGGCGTATTAAATTATTACTGGTCACCTACTACCATAGGACTGCATTTCCTAACGTTGCTCCACTGCCTTGTGGATTAGACCTCTAGGTCAAAGTCTCAAGGAATGGGTCTCTAAGAAAACCACCTGCTTCGGTTCAAAACAGGATGAAACCAATAATAATTGCTGCTAGAAAAAAATCTATTAGATCTATTAGATTTACATCGACATATACTGTATGCTCAAAATAAATCTTAATAATACATAGTTTAATCAATGACCTATGCTTAGAAAAGTATATAGAACTGGTTTACAAAAATAGAAGATGAATACTTTCATTCGTAATGCGTATCGCACACTTCAAGTTTATCAGATGTTCATAATAATCAATCTAACGAATCATACTCAATATTCACATTATCATTTCCTTTCAAAATGAGAACAAAACCAGCATTTTAGGCAGAAACTCAAAGATAATATATTGAAGAACTATAATATTCCGTTTAGACTAAATTATTTATAAGGAAAAAAACACCAAAAACTAGATTTCAAACTAATAATTCAATAGTAATGTATTACGCAGCACACAGTCTGGATTTTATGAGCTAAATTCTGAATGAGATTAATGACTTATAAAGAAGATGACCTCTCATTCCTCGCCCTTTGAAGCTTTTTTAATACTATGTTATTACAAACTTCTAGACGATAACATTGTTCTCTATAATGTGTGGTTGGTTTAGTTATGAAGTTTACTATGCCAGAAATACGATATCACCAGCATCATTTCATGATAACAGTACAGTAAACTAACCAGGACGATATTCAAAAGAAAATAAGGTGGAATCATCCATTTCACTACACATTTCTCCATTAGATTTCAAATATTTTCCATTCGGCATTCGGAAGGCAACACGACCAAGACGTGAAACAGCAGCTTTGCCAACTAAAGGGATATTTGGACCACGACCAAAACCTTGACTTGCAACCATTGTAGGCTGTTCAATCCAAATAACAGACTCTGGACCCCATGGGTATGGTTGATCAGCTCGAAGCTCAAGACCATCGTTAAGAAGACGTAAGTAACGTGAACGGAACTGATGACGAATATGTACCTTGACAGAAAACATGATCAACACAAAAGTTAGCTGAGTTTAGTTAGATGTTTGACGTTTAGTAAACGTCTAGATAACTCATATCCGGGTATATTGCAAACTTATCAATTAAAAACTGAAATAAACTGTTTAGAATTCATGTTTTGTCGATTCCTACAGAACTATATCGTCACCTTTTAAAATGGAAGCTTCTTTATAAACAGATTTTATACAGTTTATGCGGATTATAGTAAGATATGTAAAATTGACCAAAGAGAAACTCACTAATTAAGTTTCATTTTATCATCACACTCGTTAATGAGGTCTAAATGTTTAGCGCCCATTTTAATTTATCAAAGATCAAAATACTAACGAATAATTAGACTCCATTTCACTTGAGGCTGACATTATAAAATATAAGTGACCAAACATATTCAACTCATTACTAAAATAGTAGTTGCAGTAGTAAATTGTCATCTGAAGCTTGACAAACATACACGGAAACTTAAATTACCATCAGTTAACTTGGTTACTCATCGCGTCATTGATGAGTTAACTATTTTTCCTGTTTAGATACAACTCAGTAATCACGTGCAGGTTTGTTAAAGTATGAGGTACACATGTCCACTCAAACTTTAATAATTTAAGGGAGATTTAGATTTGTGATCTGTCAGTTGAAAGTTTAGTGCATAAGACAGAGTCAACATAACTTGCCCATGGACAGGTAGATATGTAATTTAATGATCGAATTTATCCTGCTAAATGGCTGTTAAACTAAAAATGCATGCTTCATGACGTCCAGTGAGATATCAACCATATCTATTGGAGAGTATAATTCAATAATCAAGTATAGATAAATTTAATAGACTTTGAGGAACACTTGTATGAAAGCTCGAGACATCATGAACTGTATTTGGTTCAATCAAATTAAGTAGGAAAACCCATTGATATAGTAGTTAAAGGATAAATGTTTAAACCGTTCAGCCAAACCTTTCACATCTCCAATTTCTTCAACTGAGGTTCACACAGTAAGTTTTAAAATGTTATACATAATCTCACTTGAGGATGTGTTGCTAAACGAAATGACCACCAGACAGGAGATTTGGAAAAACATGAAACTTGAGTATCGGTACCAGTGAGATAGAAACCATATGCATCTGATTTAAAAGCCCATTCACCTGTACCATCTGGTGCAAATTCTAAACGGAAACGTTCTTCGCAATCTAGGCAGACAAAATACGTTGTAATATAAACGTGAAGAAAAATGTTGCAGTGGAAATAGATACTAACAGAACCAAGATACAAACTAAAGCATAAATTTGAAGATCAAATTTTAATCTATAATAATAATAATAATAAATTAATATTATTACCTAACTTATCACCAGGTACAAATTTATCCACTTGGCTTTGAATCACACACTAATTCTGAAGGTTGGTGATATCAAACGGTTACTTGAACCAATTTAAATGAACTAGTAATTTAGTGGTTGAAAGCTGAACACTTTAACCACTGAACAACTGTTCCACTATATATAACCTTACTCAACAGGCATATTTTAGCTGTTAACCATGACCGAAAACATGCTAACACTATTGTCAGTACAAAGAGTTTACAGAAGAAAAAAAACAATGAATGATAATTTCAGTTGAAATAAGCAATGAGTACCAGTAAGACTCATTGAAAACCAAATTAAGTATATATTTTGTTTAGATATGATCAGTTTGTGAAACCATGAACGTATGTGCTAAATTCTACGTAGAAAATTATGATTCAACAAATAGAATGAAAAAAACTGCCATGATGGTGAATATTTGTCGCTAAGGATGAAGATTATCAGGGTGTTTTGTTCTCCAAGCTAGAAATACTAGAAATAAATCCATGAACAAACAAGCTCCCATAATAAGTTGTAATCATGAATGTTGTGATAATTAATATTAAATGAGATGAAATAGACTACGTTACGTCAGTCAATCACTATTAATAATAATAATAATAATAATAATAATAATAATAATAATAATAATAATAATAATAATAATAATAATAATAATAATAATAATAATAGTTAATTCAGTGACTACATAATATAATCCCCTTGATCGATAAATATTTGGTGGCGATTAGGAACTAGAACGTATCACTATTTTTTAATTCGGGGACGAAATCAGTTGAAACACCTGACACCGTAACACTATAATCCATATTATTATCAATTTAATACATACTAATGAATCTTAAATCCCTTAAACTAAGAGACTTATTAAATCTAATGTAAATTGACAGTTGAAACCAAAATAGTTAAAAATGAATCTAATCAGGACGATTTTTTAAAGAAAATAATAAACAGCATGATATTAGGTTAGCTCAGTACAATGAATAACAAGCCCGAAAATAGCAAGAACACCTATATGGAAAAAGTCGATCACAGACAGAATAATTACTTAACCAAACTATCTGATTTGATTTAACTATTCAGACAAACTTAAATAAACAATCATCTCATTTATTTATCAAGTTTTCTCTTAAATAATAAATTTAGGACTATTGGATTGAAAAGTAATTTATGATAATAAATGTCTATATTTCAATAGTTGAAATCATGAGTCAATTGAAACTAGACCACCATGGAAAACCTGGAAGCACTGGACGGCTGTTTCGTCCTAGTGTGGAACTCCTCCGTAGTGCGCATCCATGATCCCGCCCTACGCGAGATTCGAACCCAGGAATCCCATAATAGGATGAAACGGTCGTCCAGTGCTTCCAGGTTTTCCATAGTGGTCTAGCTTTAATTAACTCACGATTTCAACAATTGAAATTACTAAAATCTCCACAAAACCGCTTCTGGAAATGTCTATATCACTCCAATATGTCAGCTTGACTATCTTGGGACCAGAAGATGATACATTCATCCATACGAGGTGTGTGATGAAGTATTTATCGTTCAAGAATTTCAGATCAGTACATAATGTTTGCATTTCCTCACTTACAATGATAGATCAACCAATACTGCTTTAAGATATACATTGAATTCTGAAATATTTGAAATCCATAATTATTTAATTCAGAATTAATTTTCACCACCTCACCAATCAGAGTACAGCCAACTCAAAATGTGTGAATTGAAAAGACAACCCCACAATATGGAATAAGTTGTGACTTATTTGATTACCTGAATGAAGTTTAATAATTAAGAAGCTAATATGATAATTGAAGAGGCTAATCATTCCAACAGATTGTAACGATTATGGGCCCATGATAACGAATAGAATAGCCGTCCAATTTCTGTAGGCTCTCAGTCGACTAATAGCAATTTTTAACATAAATCTGACTTTAAATTTATTAACAAGTGATCAATGGCAATTAACATAACAGGGAGAAAGTGAATCACAACAAAGTAGAAAACGGTAGAAGGCATTTAGAAAACAAATATTTTGGCATCGTTTTCATAGGTGGTGACCACCGGAGATCAGAAATCATCAAAAAAGCTATTTCGTCCTAATTCGAGACCTATCAGAAGCGTACATCCATGGGTTGATCCATGGATCCAAGATCTACAGATCCCCTGACTAAGCGTGTTAATGTTAAACGATCAACATTTCTAATTTAGGTCAATTTTTGGAACAGTGCAACGAAATAAATATAGATTTCAGGTAGTAGCAATTCGTAGGTAACATTCCGTTGCATACAATGTATATGGATGAATTAGGGTAAGAAATAGAGAAAAAATCACTAGAATACCTGATTTTAAAGATGTACTTATTTTTCCATCCTTATTAACTGATAAAAATCGACCCAATGAGTTTTGTAAAAACAAAGTATCAGTATTCTTCCGATCAGTAATTAAAGACCAAACTTGACGTCGTCGTAATGCTGTTCCAGAAATATTAATTTCATTGTTAAATACTTCAGCTGTAAGAAATCGTCCAGATGGAATATGAAGAATTCCTATCTTAAGACATTCATTAAAATCTTCATAAATTTCGTTGTTGCTCATTTATCAACTGTAAACAAAATGTAATTTAATTTGATATAAAAAAGAGCTTAATTTCGAATGACACAAACAACCAACAAACGAATTTAAAAAATACTTTTACAAATAGATCCAATAAAATTATATTTTCAGCAATCGATTTGGAAAATCCCGGCTCAGTGGTCTAATGGTTAAGTGCTCGCGCGCGAAACCAGCAGGTCCTGGGTTCGAATCTTGCGGGGTGCGGGGTCGTGGATGCGCACTGCTGAGGAGTCCCATATCAGGACGAAACGGTCATCCAGTGCTTCCAGGTTTTCCATGGTGGTCTAGATTCAATTGACTCATTATTTCAACCAATGAAATTTCTAAAAATCTCCACAAAACCCATTCTGATAAAATCCCGATAAGTTTACTTTACTGGATAGTCTTATGAAATATCAGTGTTCCAAAATATATCCAATCTGATACTGAGAGTGGTTATGTGAACAGATATGTTGTAAAATTTCAATGTAAGTTCGAATTCGATTAGTTTTGTGAGCGCGTGATTTTCAAAAATCATTTTGAAGTTTAGTATGTTTAGTTCCGTTATGAATGTGGAACCCTCAAGAACTAAGTTTTTGGAGAAATCAATTTTTAGAAAACAAATCTTGAATAGCTGATAAAATTCTGTTATTATTAATTATTATTAATCGATACATAGTTTGAATAAAGTGGAATTTAGTTCTTCTGGAACCTTTTCCAACACACGCTTACAAGACTTCTTTCATTTCCAATCATGTTGGAAACTATCGTTGAAGTTTTGTGCATTAATCGTCCAGTTTATCCAGTTAGCATAGATATCTTTAAATATTAGAAGAATCTCTGAATGAGAAATACGGGACCCAAACTCAATGCATAATAAATTGAATATGAATAGAGGGGTAGTAGCTTTAACTTGTATAAAAAGAATAATTCCAATTCAAGTAAAATAATATCTACTTCAATAATAAATTTCACTAATTTTCAATGTCTAACAGATCATTTAGCTGGTAGTTTCCAGTAATATTATCTATTCTCAAGAGTGAATTTCTTACATCCAACTCACCAGTGAACATCAGAACCAAGTTATTCAAACAAACATACAGATATAGAATCGTTCAAGGATATATTGCTCGTTCCAACTAAAGTCATGAAAAGTGAGTACTTAAAAACGTAAATATTTTTCATAATCGGACTTGCGTTTTTTTAGCGATGACATTAACATGGTTCATTCTGAACGGTAATATAGACCATACGTTTTAATGATGGGACAACTGATGGTTATCCGGCTATTGACAAAATGTTTTCCTATGTATTTAGAAGGCAATGTATGTTAGCCTCTCATAACCAAAGTAGGAACTAGTAAAAATTCTCGTCAACATAAGCAGCCACACCACATTGGTATAGCGAAATGAAATTGGTATTATCAGCGATAATAAAAAAGATAAGGCATTGACAATATGATTCAAGGAGAAAGAATGAATTCGTGGAATTAGAAGTACAAAACAATTTCGAAAAAATAGTTGTGCAGACTCCAACCAGGTATTCTCCACCTGCCAACATGGATCAGTACAACAGTTAATAATTTCATGAACTGATCTTACATTTTCATTTAGTTGCTCCAGTTTTTTTTAACCTGTTCCAGCGTATATTAGGCATTGAGATACGTAGTGGTTGAGCATTAGTAATACATATTGCAGCCATCTCAGTCAGTGAAGACTCACAATCGAATCAACAGACTGGTTATCTCTGCCTAGTACCCTACATCTAAGTTCATTCTTGATCACTCCGTAGTCACAACATACCCGTGGAAAATCTCATAAACAACGTATGATCTGACAAAATATGTACCGGCCTAAGCTGCCATATCAAACATCAGTACAGTGAAACAAAACAGAAAAGATAAATATCAAAGGAGTCTCAATAACTGTAGTTTAATCGATAATGAAAAGTAGATAAACACATGGATGCAGGATAATATGAACTCATGATATTTCGTGGTTTCTTATCAGCTGCTTACAACCAAATATGTATTAAAATTTTACATTGAGGTAAGATAGTGTGAAACAATCGAAATAAGTGCATGTAAATAATTGGAATGACAAAGGTTATCAATAATAACCATATATATATATATATATATATATATATATATATATATATATATATATATATATGCAAGAACAGGTCGGAGGTCACTTGGTGTTAAGATAAAAAAAACATGAGGGATGAGTGATGTAATAATTGAGTGAGGTTCAAAGACATATAAGATAAATTGTGTGATAATTTTAGAGGTAATAAAGGTTTGCAAAAGATTCCTGGAATTGAAAAACTGGTAAGATGGGTTGCGAAATAATTAAACAAGACTTGATGAGTTCACATAATTTGGTGAGTGAAAATGTATTAGTGAAGGGGGGTGGTTTAAATGTAATAGAAGAGAAATATAACAAACTAAACATTAACAAAATAAAACTAATGATCAAGATTGAATTACCAGGGTAATAATAGGTTTATTACTCTCTTTTTGAATACATAGATTGCGATTTTAAAAAAGCAGTAATAACCGATTATTACCCTCAATGAACACAAGACAATCCTAGCTACCACTGAATATTTGACTAAAAATCCTGAATCATAGTTAGCAAGATCATATTTGAACAAAATTTACCCCAGACACAGTCTTGTACGATTTTACCCTAAGTATGATCAATTTACAGCTTTAAATGATTGGTAATTCTGCTTTATGAATCCAGACACTATATGTTTGTAAATAGTGGTTAGGTGACGCGTATATTTTGGTCAATTATCCAAGTTGAAAAGAAACAACTAATTAATGCACTAACAGATTGATAGGGATGAATGACACAGATACTATTTTACCCAAAGAAAGTACTGAACGTAACGAATGACAAATGGTACTGGTATCATTAATCTATTTTTAACTGTTTATAGGGAAGGGCAGTTTTTAAGAAGTGTGAAATTTTTCAGAGATGTCAGAAGTTACAAAAACATCTTAAAACAACCAGAGTAGCAAACTCATTTACATACTTGCATTAGGACAAAAAATATACTGTGTAAATGGGAAATATTACCTAACTACATACCGTAGCATTTAAAAAATGTTGTAATCTGTGGGGAAAACAGTGGGCGCTTAGGAAAAAAACAAATTATAATTTTCTATGACCAAATAGTATAAGTAATAAGTGACTTGTTCAAAATCACTTAGTATTTGGTGGCAAACTAAAAATCCAATGTCTAAAGTACAGGGAAGCAGCAATGAATTACAAGTTGTAAACATCACTGACATACCATAGAGAATAACATGCTATGTGAGGTAGGTATCTAGGATTTATAGAGATGAAATCCACTGGTTGTTAGTTAGGACGGCCAATTAGTTTATAATTGCTTTTTACACAGCCGGTTTATTAACTGACTATATACTTATGAAATCAGTTTAACATTAGTATAACTACGAACGAATACCTAGCAGGGAATATATGCAAACGTATAAACACTGATCGGAACTGTACGCAACTATATTACATGTATATACATCTTCAAATCAAGTTTATATTTAATGGTTTGGTCGAATCAACTAGAGACCATCTAATAATTTGTACTTTCCAGTCAACCATTTCTCATCGCATTGTATAACAAAGCGGTTGTAGTAACAATCTTATATGTTCAATTATACGGGAAAATATATAATTTGCTCTGACAAAACTATCTTTATTGATTTCAAGTCATTTTTTTTAATTGTTAAAATAACACTCCAAGACAATGAAACTTAATTTCAAGAGTCTAACCAAAGGCAAACTTAGTAACAAGTTGAATAACTTACGTATATCCGTTGGCAATTATAATATTCCAAAGAAGACTAACCAAGTAGGGAAATAGTCCAAACAACAGTTAAACGACTTGACGGATACTTTGATGTCAAAACGCTGTCTATTAATAATATATCGATTAAAATAACTGACTTGCCATTGGTTTAACATTTCAATAGGTCAGTCTGGTTAGCGTATAAAGGCAAAAATAAAATAAAATTGATCAACCAATCAGTATGGCGATAAGGGAAAGAAAATTTATTGTACGGTATAAAAATGCTTTTGATATGGGTGACTCACATTCTCTGTTGCTCACGTGCTTAAATGTCTACCATAACAAAGGAGTTGTACCATGGATATAATATTTGCGTTAGTTAAGTGGTCACTCCACTTTTATGCGATGCCTTGAAGGACTGACTTTAGATTGGTCAACCCTTCACTATTTACTTACATTATATGCTAACTAAATTCACTGAAGGATAACCATTCAAGTTTCATCTTTTCTATGATTTTCACCTCTATACAGAAGCCTTAGTTTCCTGAGGTCATTTTTATAACAAGCCGATTATAAACCTTTATTTTCCATTTGATTCAATTTTACTGAATGATAATTTGACCAAGCTTACTCTCAATATGTATTTATGCGATACTTCTGTAAAGATTAATTAAATTTCCACAGCGATACGGTATTTATTAAACATTTATTTTGTCTTTCTCCTATGCTTTAATAGTGTTAATACTAATAGTTCGACAATCTCCACAAACCATTTACATCACCAATAGTAATCATATGTTCATTGGTGACTAATTTAAAGATGTAGCTCTAAGGGCTGTGATCAATGGAGTTCAAACATGTTGGGGATTAGATGACGTTAGGAAATAATTGTGCAGTACCACGTATCGACTGAAGTGAGAAATATAAACAATTGATTGCCAACTCACTGGTTTAGAGGTTACGCGCTTTCTATAAAATATGAAGGTCCTGAGTTCAATCATGTGTAGGGTCGGGAATGCTCACAACTGATGACTCCCATACCAGAGCGAAACCGATGTCCCATGCTTCTTGGTTTTCAGTAGTGGTGTAACTGTGGTCAATCAGTGAAGAAAACTAATAAAATACACTCCGTTTCCTAAGCTATTTTCTGTGACCCCCAAGTTAGAACTATACAGCGACCTGAA